TGTTGTTGCGTTAACCACTGAGCTACAGTCTGTACGTCTGTAAATGTTTTTATTGCAATGTTTTATGTTTTCATTATTTATTCAATTTCATTTCAGTAGCCTAATTTCAGTATTGTGATTATGAATTATTTTAACTACGTTTCACTTGTTGAATTCATCTGCTACCAGCTTTTAATCGCTCTGAATCAGGCGCGGTGCGGCGGCAGATTACGCATTAGAAAGAATAAACGAACACTTTTCAGAGTCTATGATTGTAGCGCCTCTTAGCGGTAAAAGGCAGAAAATACACCCCACATTTTACCGCCGCGGTGGAACGGCTGATGTGGGCATTGTCATGGCTTGCCTCAACATTTGCGTTTGAATAGCGCGCGTCCTCCGTGGGCGTGTCAGATTAACGCATAATGAAGTGTAATGAGCTGGGGAAAAAAATTCTGACAGCACTCTCTTTTCATACAGATTACATAAACTGAGAATATTTGTTTTTTATATAAATTACTTCATTGAAAAGAAGAGAATTCAAGCTTCATAAAGAAAAATCTCTTGTGCCTGTATGACACAGGGTTCCCGCGGATCCTTAAAAAGTCTTAAAAAGTCTTAAATTAGATTTTTAAAATTTAAGGCCATAAAAAGTCTTATAAAGTCTTATTTTTACTTATGAAAGGTCTTAAATTTTAGATGACACTTTGACTTAGACATATCTAAAAGCTTTCCAAATTTTAACCATCTAATTAGCGTACGTATTTTTATTTATTTATTATTCTATCTTTGTGGATTTGCTAGTTCACGTGACATTTCGCGTCACTCGCGAGTCGCGGCAGCATAACTGTCTCCTGCACGCGAGAGGAGAGAAGGAGAAGAAAGGTCGTAAATGTCAGTTCAGTTGTAAGTTCATTCTTTATGTGCGTATGGTGTGCGATGTGTATTGTCTTGTATGATATTGTAATCATTGTTTTAACAATGTACGAGGCACTGCGAGCTGACATCGCATTTGTCTCGTGCTTTCACTGCGTGATGTGTGCAGTGTAACTGTTATGTCCCCAAGTTAGTTTTTGTCTTATATTTATATCATATTATGTTCTTATATTAGAATATCACATCAGAAAGAGTGCCGTTTTCCCGTGCACAATTCCAATTGTGATATTTATGTTATACAACAGTTAAATTAACAATAGGTTAACATTGAGTTACTTTTTAGACACAATATTGTCAATATTGTTTGTTTTCCCTTTATTTCGCCGACTATAATTTCAAAATGAAACCGTAGCAGAGTCTCAATGCAACCGACAGCGATTATTTCTTGACTGAAATCCGCGTTTTGAACGAATCACTTGCTTCTTTCCCGAATGAATCAGCCGTTTGAACGAATCGGTTGAATGAATGACTCCCTCAACTCACTTTTTAAGACAGTGATTTGCCGCTGCGGTTTCATATTTAAAGTACCCTTTAAATAAAATGTTAAAATTAGAAATCATTTCATATTTAAATATTGAATATTGATTTAAAAATATATATATCTCATAGCTTTATTTATGCAGTTGTAAATGGAGTGTAAATAAATGAATGCCACTTCTGATGCCGCTTCTGTCACCTCTGCACTGCAAAGATGGATTTTGATTGAATGATTTAATTTGACTGTAACAGTGGTACTGTATGATTATTATATAATTAAGTATTATTGTATAATTACTGTATAATTTAATTTTAATGATAGTATTTGACATTAAAGGTGATGCATAACTGTAAATAAGTTTAGAAAAAATGTCCATATATGGGTGAAAATGCCCCTGAAAAAATCAATTTAAGGTGACAAATATTGCCCCTTAATTAAAATATTAATTTCTGTCACTGCTCTGAACTGACCACTGCATAGAATATGAAAAATATGAATATCTTCGTGAGTCAGCTGTCAACAACAGACCTAAACCAGCCATGGCACCAGCACAAAAACACAATCAGTAAAATATCATCTAATTATTATCAACAAAACGTTGAAAATATCAAGATATATTTTTGCCAATACTGCACAGCCCTAATGTACGGTATTAATTTTGATTTCTTCAGGTCTTAAAAAGGTCTTAAAAAGCCTTAAATTTGACTTTCAAAAGTGTGCAGGAACCATGTGACAAGTATTTGCAGAGTTAGAGTTAATTTTTCGGACGTGTTTCAGAATGGACTGCACTGACAGAGAGAAGGCAAAACTCGCATCATGTTTATTTTTCTTTATTTGACAAAAAGCACAAAACTTTGTTTTTATTGTGAGTATACAGAAAATAATAGACAATTAACAGGATCGATTGATGTATAACACTTATATGTACGATCAAAATCAACAGAGTATTTTAAGTCTATTTTTCTGCTATGTGAAAAAAAAAAACGGCAAAACGTGCCGGCGCGTTTCTGGTCCCCAGAGGGTTAAGCACATAAAAGTTCTACAGACACTATACTGCAGCGCTCATAACTTTCTTCTTCTTTTTAAAATAATTTAACACTAATACATCCAGAATGGAGATATACTCGATTCAACCTACTTCAACTTTCAGGAACACCCTCATTCATCATTGATTTAATCTTATTTAATCTTTTTTTTATTTTTAAACATGTTGTAGTCTCTGTGGAGTGGTGAGCTCTCGATCTTCTACTGGTCACGAGTCTTCACTTTGTAAGAGTGGTTTTCCTACAGTGGTTCAAAAACGCGGTTCATGTTCGAAACGTTATCACCTAGATGGTTTAAAACTGTGCATTTCTTGTCTATTACCTCCTACTGCTACTTATACCAAGGACGGAAATAAGCGCAGTTACAATAGCTAAATATGTGGGAGAGTGTTGCTATAGTGTGATGATATTGTATTGCAATAGGTAGCACTTCAAAGTCAATACCAAATCAAAACTAGTTAGCACATCATTTGTAATTGAAAGGGTTTAATGACAATATATTGTTATGGATACACTTAAAATAGTTGCAAAATAGATGAGATGATAAAAACGTTTACTAATAATTGTACCCAGCATATATGTATAATGTATGAGAGATAGGAAGAGAAGGAGAAAGTGTAGAGAGAAAGAGACAAAGAAAGAGTGCCCCAAGAAAGGGACCCATACGAAAAGAAGTGCCAGAGCAAAGAAGAACGAGAGCCAGAGAATAAAAGGGCCAGATCAATAGTTACAATCCTCTTTTATCCCTTGACCATGTGACTGAAACCCAAATGTGAGACATTCAAACTGACCAATCAGAATTACATCTTCCCCCACCATACAAAAGGCATTAGACCCCCAATGTACACACATGTTGGCCTACATGTCTCGATTACTATCAACACCTCTGTCTTTAGGAATGTCAAATGGCAATTGGGGTAAGAAAGAGGGGGAGTTGAAACAATAAAAGAAAATTCTTTGTTCATTTTAAAATATCTTTGATTATGTTCGATCCTACAACGTGATAAAATTTGCAGGTCATGGTTCACTAAACTTGAACTTTGGAAGTTTGCGTTCATTTCATTCACATGTGTATGAATGTGTCTGCCCATTTAGAGATGACTAAATAGCAGAACAAATCAACTAAAAGGAGAAACATGTGAGTAACAAATGAATGACTGTGCGGATTGCAGAGTGTGTGTGTGAGAGAGAGAGAGAGACAGATCAAACCTTGGTCTTGATAAAAAAATAGGCTGCCTTCCCATGCAGTATTGGGGTGTCAAACTCATCTCCTGGACTCTGGTTGAGTTTCGCTTTAACTCTAATTAAACACACCTGATCCCGCTAATCAAGTCCTCTGGGATTACTTGAAAACTACAGGCATCTGAAATGGAGCAGGGACAGGGTCAGGCCTTGTCCACACTAATACGTTTTCGTTTGAAACCGGATCTTTTTTCTCTCCGTTTTGCTACCCGTCAACACTGAGACGGCGTTTTTATTGATGAAAACGAAAACGCCTGTAGCAAGGCTAGATGTTGTGGGAAGAAGGAGGCGGGAACCGGCGAACATTTAAAGACCTAAATAAATAAATACAAAATGAAAGTAAAGACGGCATCCCCTCACGGTCGACTGCCGCCACACATAATAAAACAAAACATCAAATAAAATAGTCCAGGCCTGATCCTCTCTTGTCCTTTACCATCGTCGCTCCTCCTTTTCTGCTTTCGCTCCTCCGTGAGAGATATGTCTCTCATTATCAATCACACCACCGGCCTCGCCTCGTTATGCCACGGCCCTGCTCGCCACAACGCCGTTTCCGCGTTGTAGTGTGGACTGTCAAAATGGAGGTATTTAAAAACGATGATGTAAATTTAGCCATGTGACGCGTATTGTACCAATAAATATTCATGTTTATACCAGTATTGTGCCTGTTATGTGCTATTCACTTTCACATTGTTGCTAAAATATGTTACTTTGCACACTCTTCATATCACAGTCCTGCAAAGAAGACATAAAATGACCTCACATTTGCTGTCCTGTGGTAAAGCAGGTTTAGCGTTTTAGACCAAACATATGGTGACTGAGTGTGACCTCAGTAAAATGATCCTGTCATTAGAATTGCACGATAACTTTATTCTTTATTTTTCCATCTCAGTGAGCTTTTACCCATGCGCAGTAAGGTGAATTTAGCGTTTTCCAAAAGTTTCTCATCCACACTGAAATGTCGGAAAACGCCTGAAAACGCTAGTGGACGGAGAGCATTTTGTTTCTGTTTTCAAACGTATCCGGATTAATGTAGACGTAGCCTTAGATTCACTGGGCCAAAAACAAATGCTAGTATTCAAATTAGTAGATTTCATTGAGCTGCGGCATGAAGTGTTCCCAGATAATTACATGTGCAAATGATTAACCCAACATCTCATTTAAATGATGCTTAGTATAGGTCAAACTAAACTCCTGTTTAGATATATGTTATGACCATATGCAGTGGATTTTGTTCAATTCATCCTTATAGAAACATCCTTCTCAAAATAAGTCTGAGTTAGCCAACAATACAAAGTATTCAAGCTGAACCTGATTCTTCACAGGTACATTCACAGCCCCCCACGCCGGTCTCTACTCCTTCTCCTTCACGGCTTATTCCAAAGCTGGCGATGCCGGTGAGCGGCTCTACCAGAAGCTGCAGTTGATGAAGAACGGTCAGCTGATTGCCTCATCCTGGGAGGATAACCGTGAGGATTCAGAGGATAGTAGTACTCAGACTGTTCTTCTCCAGCTTAGACGTGGCTGTCAAGTCTATGTTGAGTTGCTCTCAGGCAGACAGCTTTGTGGAGACACCCAGGGCCATAACACTTTCAGTGGATACCTGATCTATCCATTCTCTGAGTAATGAGAAAAGACCTGTAAACACATACATAACGATCTTCATTGTAATGCCTTCCATCGAGATTAAAGCAATTTTGAAAAGATGTTAATCTGGAATTCTTTATGTGAAATTGTCATAGAAATGACAAAATCAGCATGTACATTAAAGTACATATAAAGGTTACTTTAATAGCTTTCTGTGGCACTTATAACTTCCAGTTTGTTGACATTTTATTATATATTCTTTAATTGATTTGCTTTAATCTTCATATGTGTATGTATAAAGTGCTTGGAGCCAAAGGAGAGAACATCATCAGATGTTTATCAGACGAGCATCAGCTGCATTAACCATATACGGAGAACACATTTTCTCTGTTATTAGAAGTGTTCTATATTATTTTAGAATGTAATAAAAGAATGGATCATAATCTTCTTTTTTACTGGTTATTATTATTATTAGAGTGTGGATAGTCTAGAAGTATTCAGAAACTACATGGAGACGACCCAGGGCAGACGCTAATCCTGCTCCCAACGAGAGGCCATTCGCATTCCAGATGAAAACTGCAAACTGCTGTGAATTAAACTGAAAGATCACATCCTGAAGCTCAAAACACAGGTGTCTTCATTAAACGTAGTGACACTGCTTTATTTTGAAAATAGCTGATGATAAATTAAATGAAGCTCATATCTTGCCTTCATTGAGGTGAACTCAGTTGAATTTGCAGGAATTGAAGATTAGATTTATATTCATTTTGCAGAGACATGGTTATGTTGCCAAGAGTAAATGGAACAGTTTTAACCAGTAGCGTAGCCAGAAAAGAGACTCTGAAAAACTGGGTGTGCCACATTTATTGTCAGATTACTGTGCAAAATTATTAACCATAACCATGCCCCACATAACCATAAAACTATATAAAATATAACTATACATTACACTCAGGATCACCAACAACAGTCATAACATAGTGCCTGTTAGCTGCTTAAAGGGAGAGGCGGCATGGCCTGGCCTTGAATGCATCAATTATGTCATCTAGGTCCAGTGTCTCTGCGAGTTCTCGTTCAAACGTTGGCAACGAGAGGCTATTTAGTCTGTCTGTGAGCATGGTTGCTCTGTTGCTGGATTTGATTCGGTTCACTGCTGAAAACAAGCGCTCCACAGAACAGCTTGTAACAGGCAATGTGATCAAAACACGCAGTAAACTGTTCATGTTGGGGTCACACAGACAGCAATTAGTTCCTTCTTCGAGAGGTCCTTCTACTCATCAGCTAAAACGGCATAATAGGTGTCAGCCTGTGCATGCAATTCTGCTCTGATTTTTCGTCGGAGAAGTGATGCTGCAGTTTCAAGGAGGTCGTTTTGAATATCTGGGCTCATCATTTTTGCATTAGCTGGAAGCTCATCAAGGCGTCGTTTTATCTCGGGTCATATTGACAAAGCACTTTAAACAACTCTGTTCAGGCTTTCTATGTCTTCCTTGTGACCACGCAGTGCAATCCCTTGTTTCGCACAGAAAAGCAAAATGTCAATGATAACTTTGACATGTGCCCTGTTTCTTTCAATCAGGTCAGTAAAATGCCCCTGTGCGTCTTTTGTTACCTGATGTATGATGTCACCTTTTCCAGCCCTTTTTATCTCCATGAAACCTTTGTGTCGGGCCACAGCAGCAGCATGGGCTTTACTGGCTTCATGTTTTATACAAAACTGATCAAGATGCCCCCAGTCTCTTAGTCCTGCTTTGCTGAATCTGTCCTCCTTGGCATCAGTGTTAAAGTGGCGACAGGAATGGCAAAAAACAGCATCCATTGTGATACTGTACTCTAACCAAGTGTACCGGCCATACCACTTAGCAGAAAAATTCCTCCTCTTTCCACTGACTGTTTGCGTGACTGGAAAAGCACACAGTTTTGGCTGACATGCAGGCTCATCTACTGCAGAAAGGTTTGTAGGCTTAAGCTCTGATATGGAGGCCATTTCGGTGTCTTCTGATTCAGCTGCTCTTTGCTGATTGGTTGGCAGTACGAATGTCGGCAGATATTTTTTAAACGAAAATAATTTAAAATGTAAATTACATTTCAACCTTTTGAGCGTTATGGCACCATAGCCTATATTGGATTGTTATTTCTGTGCCCCTGAGAGTATGACTAGAATGTTTAGTGACGTCACAGAACTGACAGATTCAAACTGCTTGCGCGGACAAGGTTGGGGTTAGCTGGCGCTGAGCCAGAGACGGACGCGCTCAGCACTTGTCATATCACAACTAATATACATTGTTTTCAACCACATAATGTTTATTTTAGGTTTCAGACATTTAAATACACATAAGCACTAGTATAAAGCAATACATTTGGAGTTAGTAAAATATACACACTGATGTCTAGTATGGAAGCAGCAATAACAATCTATTCAAATGTAATTTGCCGATGTGTTTTATTTATATATCAGACACACATAGCGGAACTATAAAGTTTACTCTATTCTTCTCCCAGTTCGACGGCCACTTTCTTTCATGTATTTCGTGAGAAACTGATCATTTCAGGTGCTGTAAACCCAGCTGACAGGACTCTCTACACTGCGGCGCTCATCTTGTTATATAGATTATAGATCAATATCATTTATAAAGGTTTTTAAACTAAGAATTGGAATATCAGACATGGTAAATTAAATAAAAGCGAATAGCGATACATCTGTCAGTTATTGTGCCTGCGGTGTGTCACGTGACAATCATGACGCGTATAGAGCTAGAAATGTGTCTTTATTACATGCGAGAAAATAAATGATCTGAGAGAGAAAAAAAAAGTTTGAGAGAAAAAGTTATCACACTGAGAGCAAAAAAGCATTTCATGAGAGAAAAAATAATATTTGAGAGAAAAAACAGTTTTGAGAGAAAGTATTTTCTCATAGAACATAAAAAAATATAAATTTGAATTATTTTAATTTTTTCTGAGAAAAAAATCTCAAATATATATTTTTTGCTATCTGTGTGAAAACATTTTCTCTAAAAAAAAAAAGTGTTTCTCTCAAAACGCTTTTCTTTGCTCTCGATGCAATTTTTTGCTCTCGTGTCAGGATTTTGCTTTCGCTGTGAAAATTGTGTCATGGGCGGGGCCACGTTCCTATTGGCCAGTCGGGTGAGCATCGTCTTGTCTTGGGAGTCGAACTGAATCATTACACCATTGTTTGCGTTCGGTTCACCAACTTCACCTAGATAGATGCCGTCTCTGCCTTAGTTGAGCATGGACACTCCAATGTTTGGGTAAGATGATGACACACACACAACTCGATGGGTAGCTAGCTGAGCAAGTTCAGCATCACTGAAGATTAAACATTAAAAAATAGCACTCATGCAAGTTTACCTAGCATGATGGCTAATTAATAATTAGCTTTACTAGCGATTAGCAAGCTAATAATATAATACACATTCATTCATGAATATGAGTGCTATTTTTAATGTTTAATCTTCAGTGATGCTGAACTTGCTCAGCCAGCTAACATCCAGTTATCATCATCTTACCCAAACATTGGAGTGTCCATGCTCAACTTAGAGCTTAGATCGGGCCCAAAAAATCAAGCCCGACCCTAAGTTACCCGAGCCCGTGCACGTTGTGTCCGAGCCTGGCCCGACACATTAACTATAATTATGAGCCCGAGCCCGATTTAAACCCGACCATTTTAATACGTGGGTCGTTATAACTGACGTTCTCAACTACTTTCCATATTACTTTCTCCTCCTCCTCCTCCTCTGTTCTGCACCTCCAAATACTTTCAAGTTAGCCTACGTGTCACCATCATACACATCAGCATAAATGCTCCTGATTAATTATGTGTTATTAAAGCATTAACACACAAACCACTGTTATAACATAAAATCAAGCAGCTACTGCGTGCATGGTTTGGCATGACTGAATGCGCGCAAAGTGCGCTCCCTTAAAAATTCCTAAAGCTGACATCAGTTCATCTCACACATCTCTGTTATTATCAATGAAGCTGACTGCACAATGAATCTTTCATAATATCCACACTTTGTTTGTTATAATTAGAGGATTTGCCAGCATACAGAATTCAGCACTGAACAGAAAGTCCGTTTTGAGCGGTGAGGGGAGTCTACCTTAAATGCTTCTGATTGGCCATTGCGTTCAAGAAATCAACACATATGTCTGTGATTGGCTACATCGCTCAACGCTGCAAACGTTTAATAAAACAAAACGTCTCAGGTTACGACTGTAACCGTAGTTCCCTGAGAAAGGGAACGAGACGATGCGTCACTTGACGCTTTGGGAACGCCCCCAGCGTGCATGCGTCTGAGCATCAATGTCAACTAGTCCAATGGAAAGAATGAGCGTCACGGGCGGGTGACGTCATGACCAGGAAGGGATAAAGGCTCACCCGGTGAAACGCGGCATTAGCTTCAAAAAGTCGAAGCAAGCCGATCACAGGGAAGCAGGAAGTATGGCAGGGTGACGCATCGTCTCGTTCCCTTTCTCAGGGAACTACGGTTACAGTCGTAACCTGAGACGTTCCCTTTCGAGGGAACTCTCGATGCGTCACTTGACGCTTTGGGAACGAGAATACCCAAAACGCCAGAATTCCAAGTACCTGAGTGTCAGTCTGTTGAAACTAAGCACTAAGCACCTGAGAACCTGGGGCAGCATCCAGGTCTAAGCTGTAAAACCTAACGAATGTGAGCGGTGAGGACCAGCCTGCCGCATCACAAACGTCTTGAAGAGAAACTCCAAATAGTAAGGCTTTAGAGGCCGCCATACCCCTCGTAGAATGAGCTCTGACCGCCAAAGGACACGGCAGGTCAGAGTACTCGTATGCAAGTGAAATAGCCTCAACTATCCACTTACTAACCGTCTGTTTAGAAGCAGGAAGACCCTTCTTAGGTGATCCAAAGCAAATAAATAACTGGTCGGACTTCCTCATTGACGATGTCCGATGAACATAAGTATCCAGTGCTCGCACTGGACACAAGAGGTTCAGCCTTTCCTGGTCCGCAGATGTAAAAGGAGGAGGACAGAAAGCCTGCAGCACAATAGGCCTCGGAGTCAAGGTCGGCACCTTAGGGACGTATCCCTGTTTT